GCATACCCATTTCGGCACACATCCCTGACAGGTTTCGTGGCCCCATCATCCACCGGAGGCCCCAGTGGCGGCGCTCACATGCGTCACCCACACCCACCCAATTCGGCACACCCCTCACACGTTTCGTGGCCCCATAGGGAGCTCCACCGAAGGCCCCAGCGGCCGCGCTCACATGCGTCCCCGCCACCCATCCCGGCACGCCCCTCACAACAACAGGTTTCGTGGCCCCATGGGGAGCTCCACCGAAGGCCCCAGTGGCGGCGCTCACATGCGTCCCCGCCACACATCCCAGTACACCCCTCACGCGCTTCGTGGCCCCATAGGGAGCTCCACCGAAGGCCCCAGTAGCGGCGCTTACATGCGTCTCCGCCACCCATCCCGGCCCCCCCCCCGCAGCAGCATCATGTTTCGGGGACCCATAGGGAGCTCCACTGGAGGCCCCAGTGGCGGCCCGCACATGCGCTTCCGCCACCCATGTCGGCACGCCCCGCGCGTGTTTCATGTCCCCATAGGGAGCTTCGCCGAATGCCCCAGTGGCACCCATCTCGGTACACCCCTCACACGTACCGTAATCCTATGGGGAGTTCCATTGAAGATGAAACCCGCAGCTGCGGTACTGACAACTGCATATGGTTGGGTTCTTCGCCAGGCTAATTAATTTGTTTTTTCCAAACCATCCTGTGGTGTTGGGTCCTCGTTTTGAAGAGACAGCGCCCCGCGTTCACTCCTCCCGCTGCCCCCTCCCTCCTGCCATCATCATCCTTCCCTGCGTTTCACCCACCCAGTACAGCGCCTCGTAGCCCCATAGGAGCTCCACCGAAGGCCCCAGTACCCGCGCCCGCATGCGTCACCCACACCCAATTCGGCACACCCCTCACACGCTTCGTGGCTCCATAGGGAGCTCCACCGAAGGCCCCAGTGCCCGCGCCCGCATGCGTCACCCACACCCATTTCGGCACACCCCTCACACGTTTCGTGGCTCCATAGGGAGCTCCACCGAAGGCCCCAGTGCCCGCGCCCGCATGCGTCACCCACACCCATTTCGGCACACCCCTCACACGTTCGTGGCTCCATAGGGAGCTCCACCGAAGGCCCCAGTGCCCGCGCCCGCATGCGTCACCCACACCCATTTCGGCACACCCCTCACACGTTTCGTGGCTCCATAGGCAGTGCCCCGCGCCCGCATGCGTCAGCCACACCCATTTCGGCACACCCCTCACACGTTTCGTGGCTCCATAGGGAGCTCCACCGAAGGCCCCAGTGCCCGCGCCCGCATGCGTCACCCACACCCATTTCGGCACACCCCTCACACGTTTCGTGGCTCCATAGGGAGCTCCACCGAAGGCCCCAGTGCCCGCGCCCGCATGCGTCACCCACACCCATTTCGGCACACCCCTCACACGCTTCGTGGCTCCATAACCGCATGCCGATGATAATAAAGGGACCCCCCCTTCAGTGTTTAGAGTTGATTACCGTCGCCCTATACAAAATTCAAATTGGGCGGCGAGCGCTGAGGCCGAACTTCATTATCACCTCGAAACGCTATGTTGAGATAGCAACATCAAGCGATGTTTATATAGCAACATCAAGCGAAGCGATCACACTTTTTCAGGATGTGTCAAGCGACACCAATAATTTTGGGAGGCAGACTCAAACGAAACGAGCAATGTTTCAAGGATGTCTCAAGCGAAACCACGCGCGCGCCTGAACTTTTTATATATGTATGTATCCCCGCGCGCGCCTGAACTTTTTTATCTCTGGGGTTGATTATCCATGGAAAGGGGAGCACATGAGCTACCCTACATGAGCACTTTAAACAATCAATTTTCATAAAGCGTTTGTAAATCAAAATTGATAGATTTGGAACTTTCCATTTTTCCGTTATTATTCTCTTCTTCTTGTTCTCTTCTTCTTCTCTTCTTATTATTATTCTATTTTCCTCGTCTTCTTTAAAATTTCTATCTGTCCTCACGCTCGCCTGAACTTTTTTATCCCTGGGGTTGATTATCTATGGAAAATGAAGCACATGAGCTACCCTACACGAGCACTTAAAACATCAATTTTCATAAAGCGCTTGTAAATTAAAATTGATAGATTTGGAACGTTGGATGTTCCTTTCTTCGTCCTCTTCTTACTCTCCTCTTCTTCTTCTTCTTTCGTATTACTCTTCTACTGTATTATTCTTCTTTTATATTTCTCTCTGTCCCCACGCTCGCCTGAACTTTTTTATCTCTGGGGTTGATTATCCATGGAAATTGAGGCACATGAGCTACCCTACACGAGCACTTACAAAAAACAAGTTTCATACAGTGCTTGTAAATAAAATCTAATAGATTTGAAACTCGAGATTTTTTCTTCTCTTCGTCCTTCTCCTCCTCCTGTCATTTCTTTTATTGTATTCTTTATTCTTTTTATTTTTTATATATATAGCTTCCTCCAGTCCTCCGCCCGCCTGAACTTTATTATCGCCGCCGTTGATTATCTAGGGACGCCGAGGCGGATGAGCTATTCCGAGGATGTCTCAAGCGAAACAAGCATATACTCGAGAATGTCCGAAGCGAAGCAAGCATATAGATGTCTGAAGCGAAACGATGCGTTTCTTAAGGATGTCTCAAGCGAAAACAGGGATTTGTCGAGGATGTCTCCAGCGAGATAAGCCATTGTTGAGGATATTTCTATGAAAACTAAACGCCAAGGATGTCTCAAAACGTGCTCGGCTTGGTCTCCTCTTGATCATCTCTTACTTCGAGATTATGCTGAGGTCTGCTGGGCTACTTTTATTATCTCTCCCTGAACCCCCAACTTTAGTATCCCCTAGTGTTTATTCTCACGGGCATGAGGTTAGGGAGCTCCGCCGAAGGCCCCAGTGCCCGCGCCCGCATGCGTCACCCACACCCATTTCGGCACACCCCTCACACGTTTCGTGGCCCCATAGGGAGCTCCGCCGAAGGCCCCAGTGCCCGCGCCCGCATGCGTCAGCCACACCCATTTCGGCACACCCCTCACACGTTTCGTGGCTGCATAGGGAGCTCCACCGAAGGCCCCAGTGCCCGCGCCCGCATGCGTCAGCCACACCCATTTCGGCACACCCCTCACACGTTTCGTGGCTCCATAGGGAGCTCCACCGGGCCCCAGGGAGCTCCACCGAAGGCCCCAGTGCCCGCGCCGCATGCGTCACCCACACCCATTTCGGCACACCCCTCACACGTTTCGTGGCTCCATAGGGAGCTCCACCGAAGGCCCCAGTGCCCGCGCCCGCATGCGTCACCCACACCCATTTCGGCACACCCCTCACACGTTTCGTGGCTCCATAGGGAGCTCCACCGAAGGCCCCAGTGCCCGCGCCCGCATGCGTCACCCACACCCATTTCGGCACACCCCTCACACGTTTCGTGGCTCCATAGGGAGCTCCACCGAAGGCCCCAGTGCCCGCGCCCGCATGCGTCACCCACACCCATTTCGGCACACCCCTCACACGTTCGTGGCCCCATAGGGAGCTCCGCCGAAGGTCCCAGTGGGTGTGCCCGCATGCGTCCCGCACACCCATTTCGGCACACCCCTCACACGTTTCTTGGCCCCATAGAGAGCTCCACCGAAGGCCCCAGTTGGTGTGCCCGCATGCGTCCCGCACACCCATTTCGGCACACCCCTCGTACGTTTCGTGGCCCAGTAGGGGGCTCCACCGAGAAGATATTCACAATTGCAGTATTCACAATTGCATATGGTTGGGTCCTTCGCCAGGATTTTTTTTCGCGCAAAATCCGCCTGCAGGGGGAGACGCCCGACCTAAGGCTACCCTTGCCTCGCATCCTCCCCCTTCGGCCCATCCGTCGCCGTTCTCGCTGTCCGCGCTCCGCCCGACCTGGCCCTCCAGGGCCCTAGCACGGCCTTCGAGGCCCACGCCGCGGCCGTGCCCGGCTTGTGGGTGTGAAGCCTATTGGATGGTCGTTGGGGCTTTTTGAGTCAGTTTGGATGCCTCTTGGGACGGCCGTTTCGGGGCCTCTTTTGCGCCTCTTCGGGACCTCTTGGGGCATCTTGGGGACCTCTTGGGGGCCTCGCGGGGCCTCCTGGGTGCTTTTTGGCGCCTCCCAGGGGCCTCTCGTGGCGGAAGGGGAAGTCTCAGATTTTCGGTGTACCTTCCCTCTCTGAAGCCTTCGTGGGGCCGTCTTGGGGCTCCCTTGGCCCGTTGTGTGCACCTCTTGGGGCCCTCTTGGGTTTTTTTTTCACCCTCTTGGAGGCCTCTTGGGCCGTCTTGGGGCTCTCTAGGGCTGTCTGGGAGCGTCAGGAAGCTGCGAGAACACCAAATCCCATCAAAGTCCGAAAGAAAATCAATGACTTGAGCCTCGTGTGGCCATGTTGGGAGGCCTTTGGAGGCCTCTTGGGCCGCCTGGGGGCCATCTTGAGCGTCTTGGAGCCATCGCTCGGCGACTCGGGGCCCTGCTGCACAGTCTGCGGGTGCCTCTCGGGGCCTTCTCGGCCCGTCCTGGGGCCCTCCTGGGCCCCGAGGAATTCACGCGACATCACTTCCCGGGGCCCTGGGGGCGCGCGCCAAGCCCCAGGGGGCACGCGCCGAGCCCCAGGAGTTCTGTGAACTCGGGGCCCGGGCCCCCGAGAGGTTCCTCGGGAGCGAGGATGGGGGCGCAGAGGACGGGGCTCCTCCTTCTCTTCCTTATCCTCCTCCTCTTTTTCCTCCCCCTCCTCCTCCTCCTCCTCCTCCTCCTCCTCCTCCCTCCTCCTCCTCCTCCTCCTCCCTCCTCCCTCCTCCTCCTCCTCCTCCTCCTCCTCCTCCTCCTCCTCCTCCTCCTCCTCCTCCTCCTCCTCCTCGGGGCCCGTCAGGCCCTGAGCCCAGTCGGTGAGGACACGCCCGCTCCGTGCCCGGAGGCACGGTGGCGGATTGTACCAGGTGACTGCATCGCCGATCTGTCGGCGATCATGGCCATCTCCTGGTCGACTTTCCCCCCCCTTGGGCCGGTCCCCCCCTCTGTCGTGGCCCCTCAGGCGAGGGCGATCACGACGGCGCCCGCGGCGAGAGCGGCACCTCCGACATCTTGGGAGGGAGGAGGGGCATCAGTGTCACGCTGCCGCTGGCGGCGAAAGCTGGACCCATACCGCTGCTTCTCCACATTTGTCATGGTTTTCGGCCTCTTGTCGCCACCACCGCCGGATTCGCCTAGGAGTGTTGGCCAGAACGCACCCCAGGAGGGGACCTTGGCATTGCGGTATTGGTACCTTGTTGGGCTTCCCACACAGACCCCACTGGCAAGCTGGGCGGGGCCTCCACTGAGAGCCAGCCTGCAGGTCAGGGTTATCCGCAGAGACCCCGCTGGGAAAGGGGGTCGGCGACGAAATCCGAACCCTACCCTCGCCGATCAACGATTCAGTCAAATCGATGGGCGGTGGGGTTAAGGTTTTGAATTCGTCGAACACGTTGCGAGATCCGAACCTTACCACCGCCCCCCATCGCTTCAGGACAATCGATGGTTGGTGGAGGTAGGGTTTGGATGTCGACAC